AGTTAAGGGAAGAGAGAATCTGAACAAATTGCCTTTAGGAGGCAGCATTTGAACTCTACCTTTAAGAAAAGAAGGCAGGGTTAGCAGGTGGTTAAGGCACTGGACTCCTACATGGCGGACCACGGTTAGAGTCCAGGTACCTGGTGGAGTGAAACTCACTCTGGGCGCACCTACTTGTGTTCCCAGAATCCCTGGAGGAAGAATTTCAGCCCGGCCATCTCCTCTGGGGATGGTTTCTGACTTTCCCTCTCACTGTCTCTCTGTCTCCCTCAGGTGAACTCAGGAGACCTATGGCAAAATCCTTAATTTTTTTTTTTTTTGAAAAGAAGGAATTTGGTTCTGCCGAGACAGAGACAAGTGACAGGTGATGAGTTTTTCTTGGGAGCATTGTCCAGGAAGGGACTGGCAAGTTCCATGGCAAGACTGAATTACGTGTGCAAAAGGGCAGCGAGAAAATAAGTTTAAATGTCAGATTGCAAGCCGCCTTGAGTGCCAGGCTAAGGAGCTGGTTTAAGACTAGTGCTCAGCACATCTGAGCTTTTCTTGTAGAAAGGTGAGGGAGAAAGGCATGTATCAATTATTCATGTGGGGCCAGCTCTGTGCCCCGCCCTAAGCCAATTGCTTTTTACACCTTAAATCCTCTTGTCCCCCTATGAGATAGGTATCAGGACCCCCTATCTTTCATTGCTCCGTGCTTACAGGTATGCATGCTGCCTTCTCAGGACTGTGATATGGAAGTGACTTGGGCTGTCAGATTGACCACTACGATGGCAGATGCAAAAATACCTCAGAGGGTGTAAGTGGTAGAAGGTGCCAGAGCTAGTAAGCACCTGCCCCACAGCTAGAGCCCAGGGAGGGCCCCCTGGGCTGCGCACTAGCATTGTACCAAGCTTTCCGCCCGGTTTCTCCAGGAGGCGGGGGTCACGCCGAGTAGGGTCATACTGGATTGGCCCCACCAGCCGGGTCAGCTGGAGTGGGCGGGGCCCTGCCAGCTGAGAGGGCGGGCCTTGGGCAGGACCGAGACCCGCAGGCAGAGAGCCTTTCTGTCGGTTTTCTGGGCACCCAAGCTGCAGACCTGCAGACCGCGCCCAGGCTGGGCCGCGGTGAGCGCTCCTTTCCAGCATGTTGCGGCGGGGCAGCCAGGTGCTCCGGCGCTTCTCCACCAGCATTCTAAGAGTTCGCTAAAAACCAAGAAAGCGTTTTTGAAACAGACTACAGAGAGAGGTCCAGGGATGGTCTTGGATGGGAATTGTCAAGCAAGCTATTGTCTTCTACTGGAAAGGGGCTGCGGGCACTGTTTTTGAACCTGTCGAGGCTGGCTGGGATGACAGAGTGAGAGCAATCGCTTGGCAAGGGTGACAGAACCTGCTTCCTTTCCTTTTGCATTTCAATCCTGAGATCTCTAGTCAACAGATGGAAACAGGACTGATATCTCCTGGAGGAGGGTGTTGTCGAATCAGCAGG